TACACGGTTAACGTGTCTTCCAAAGGTCGCTGAGTATTCCATCGAACTCATCCCAACCGCCACTGAGGGTTCGTACCGTAGATGGTCCGCTGAATGCGAATCCGGCCAGTCCATTATTAATAATAAGGACAGCCTGGATTCAGTGACATAGGGCCGTATCCGATACTTGTTGAAAACTCGGAGGTGACGCCGTCGAGTCCCTTGCACCTTGGCGTCTCCGTACATCACCCGACCGAGGGTTCGTCGCTTGAACAACTTGGGCGGTGTCACGTCTTTGTCGACGGGTGATAATCCGCAACCACGGAGAAATCACTACACCACACTTCACCACATTTTTTGCGGGCTGCTTTCCTGACTTTGGGGGTTAACTTTGGCCTTCCTCGTGACCTCGGAGGACTTGCGATTTCAAACGGCGTGTCCTCTGTAGCTGCCTCTAGGGGCGCGTTTGATGAAGTTTCATTGTTAATTAGTAAAGCTTCACAATCGCCACGTGAACTCTTATTGCCTATACCGCTCGATTTAATCGTTTGTGTAGACTCTTCAAGCTCTCCACAATGGCCCGACCGGCCTGACTGACCCGACTCATCCGACTGACCCGACTGCCCCGACTGACCAGACCGCTCTGACAAGTTTGATATGTGATTATCCTCCTCTCTAGCCATTGCGAAAGCTGTGACTTCTTCGTCTGGCTCTGAAACGCATGTGGTTGGTACAGATGTGTCTGGTGAAAGCTCCTCCGGATCGGGCTCGCCCACCGCTCGGGAAGGATCTTCGAACTCACCTCTCTTGAAACGACCTGCCACTTCTTGAAGGTACTACCGTATTTGAGATCTCCTACTTCAGACCCAATATTTTTGAAGTTGTATTGTTGCAAAATACACAAGATCTGTACACGTACCGACGCATCTCTATCACGTTTTATTTAAACAAAACAATTGAGTTATTAATATTAAGTTCTTCTTCGGGAACTACGAAGTTTTCTATGTCGTGACGCGTATCCACAGCATGGCGCACTACGGGCACTTCTTCCAGCAGCCGTCGTAGCAGCTCCCAATCAGGTTCACTGTCGGAAAGCTCCGTTCCAGCCTCTAAGTTTTCAGTAGGCTCAATGGATACCATTTTTGCTTTCTCAAATCCGCTTCTAACCGTTTTGCGAGACAACGAATTCCACGAATTCTTCGTCCAACCTATTAATTGCTGCCGTGTAGGTGCTTTTATCTTAAACGGAAGCATCGAAGTTGAAGCGCGTAGTTGTTTCAACATGTTCTCCACCCAATTTTCCGCATTTTGTCTTTTCATGGCTTGTTCCACGAAATATCAGCCGGCTGGCACGCAAACGTGTTGGTGGGAAGTTTCAGTTTAGCATGTTTTTTGTACTCTGAATTAGGAGATCTAGACTTGTGCGCTGTTCCATTCTCGATATGTGATTGGTTGGAGGGCAGTCTGAATTAGGAGATCACTCTGAAGTAGGAGATCTCAAATACGGTACATGGCCTCTTGATACTGTGCCATACCAGCCATACTTTGCAACTTTGCGCACTCGGTCAGTAGTGGTGTTGGTGATCTTCCATGTCGCATTAGCCAATTGCTTGCAACATCACACTGTGAACGTGGCAAAACACGTGTCGAACTCAGTGTCTCCGCCAGCGCAGAAGTCGGCGCCGCCCTCCAAATAGCCGTACTTGCAACGCACTGGCTGGGCAGCGTGGACGTCGGCATCACCAGAGTCCAAGCTGATGATGTCAACGCTGACGCCGTTGGAGTCCTTGGCTTTTGTCGTGCAGACATACGGTATTCGACGCGCACTACAAGCGCGTGTCGGCTTTGGAACTTACGTCGGATGATTCCCACTTAGTCACGGCAGGTGAAGCCGCTTTGGTGCCTATATGGAGACTCATGGACTTGCTAGACGAACCAGACGCAGCTTCGAGCTTCCAACAAGGTCTCACACCCGTGGTAAGCTTCACAGACCACGTGCTACCTGTCACGTCGCTGCATGTGGATCTAGGCGGTGTGAAGGCCCGCATCTATACCTCCTCTCTGGATCGTACGTACAAGCTCCGGTCGCTCAATTCGCCCCAGTGCCTGTACAGCGTCTCCTGTCCGTCGTACGTCAACATGTGCATTGCTGACCCCATGGAGCAGCGGCTTTTCATGGGCTGTGGCAATGGACACATCTACGCACTGGACTTGAATGCTGCTGCCACATCCGTCACAGCAGCGACGGCATGTGGCTAATGCTTCGACAGGATCTTCGTCTGCCAAAGTTGCTCCTTGGGGTCCCGAGGCGACGCTGCCGAATTCGTTCGAAGGTCATGAAAGCAGTGACACTACACTGCACATCCACGCTAGTGGGGCCTTCTTAATGTCAGGAGACGAGAGCAGCGCTTTGCATGTGTGGGACAGCATCAGTCACCAGTCGCTACGCAACATCAAGCTGCCGCACCTTAAAACTCAACACACCGTCGCGATTGTTCTTGCAGCATGAATTAAAATCGCTCTTTGTCGCTTACTGTGCTTGGCGACATGATGCCGAGCTGCTACCCGGAGTGGCTGCAGCAGGCCGGAGCTGCATCGGGGAGGGCACAGGTGTTTTCTTCAGCTCCATGGATGCTCCCAAAACTCGCGCAGGCGTCACTTTCCCCATTCGCGACGTTGATGGTGTCTCTGGCTGCCGTCGAGATGACCGATGAGACGACGATCTCTAACAGATCCACGGGCACAGGTGTTTTCTTCAGCTCCATGGATGCTCCCAAAACTCGCGCAGGCGTCACTTTCCCCATTCGCGACGTTGATGGTGTCTCTGGCTGCCGTCGAGATGACCGATGAGACGACGATCTCTAACAGATCCACCTTTTGGAGCACTGCTTGACTTTCGACTGTCGGGGCGCTGAGAAAATGCAGTGGGGCACTACGCGGCCACCGTGCCTGACAAAGGCTCCATTGACAAGATGCCTTTCCCGTGCTGCCGTTTCGCCATCATTCTCAAATTCGGGTTGTGTGACTTCACGCACATGCGAAGGGTGTAAAAGGGCGTGATGCCATCACGGGTCATGATAACAACAAAAACAACGATAATGATACACTCTGTTTAGCTGGTACTTCGCACCACTGCAAGTTGTAAGTCCTGTCATCGCTGATGTTGACTACATATGATCTACACACTCTTCAACTAATCAAATATAATCATCGAGGCGCACAGCAAGCATACGATCAGCAATTTTCCGTCTAAGTAAGTGCATATATCCTCGATTTCGAGCAATACGAGCTGCTGAGCATAATCTTTTTCGGTGAAGTGGCTCTGCTGGAGTTCGACAAGGATGCCGACAATAGCGGGGAAGCCGTTCTTCCATATGTTACTGAAGTCGCAGGGCCAGCCCTTTTTGCAGCCCCATCAGCCAATCTCAAGCTACCGGACACGGCGATGAAAAAGAGTCTTCTGTTATTACCGAGCCTGTCCCCTTACCGACTCCAGTTCATGTGATCGCCCTTCGTGACTCTAGTCAAGCTGTGTTTATGTGACGAAGACATGGCCAAGCAGTGCATGGCGAAGCTTATTAGCGAGCCCCGGCCTTGCGAGGAACAGGACACCTGCTCGAACATCCTCTTAATCCTGTGCGATCTCTGTATTCGCTACACGTCGCTCGTGGACGCGTATGCTCTGACTATTGCGCTGTCGCGGTTGGACAAAGTCGCTTGTTACAAGCACACCGGGCTACTCGATTACCATGGATGCGACTACGAACTTCGAGACGAAGAGGACAGCATCATAGAAGAGCTGGCAGAGGTGCTGGCACGGCTGCGCACGAAGGACCCGATGTCGTTGGAGGAGCCAGTCATTCGTTTTACGGTAATTACGTCCTGCTGTCTCTAAAAAGGCTTATTATAAAATACGTTCGTTAAAAAGGGGTAAAAACACACGGACGTTCTACTGTAACAGGGCAGTTACCTCGCTCGCCTGTTGAGCGTGCCGTATGCTCGCGTCCTTGCTCACTGGGTATGTCCAGGTCTGACGAAGGTACTCGTCACGCAAAGATAATCAACACTTTTGGGCCCGTTTCACCTAGCCCGTTCTGTGCTCGCACCTATTTATTAATACACTTCTCCGTTTGCTCGGTTTCCAGAGTCGTTTCGTCCGTCCGTCCGTTCTCCTGTGCTCTGACCTCACGCAGAGTCCGTGGCTTCGTTTACACAGAGACTTCCCACCAAGTACATGTGCTCGTCCTTCGCGTTCTTGTGCGCCGCGACTCAGAGCCCCACGCTAAGCCTTCTCTCAGATTCACGCATCGGAACCGCTGAACCGTGTCTACTCCTGCCAGACTCCACGCTTCTCGAGGCTCTCGCTAAGCCTTCTCTCAGTTGCAACACTAGGTCCTCGTGACCCTGGTTACTCCTGCCAGACTCCACGCCTGCTCCGTCGCACTGTCCCGCTAGTCCTCACACGCACAGCCCATCGATAACGTTTCCGCTACTAACACCTACTCGTTCTGGTTCTCGTTGTTCGTGTACGCCGACACTCTCACTACCGCAGGTCAACCACTTGCTCTTGACCCCGCAGATTGCAAACTGAGTGGCTCCAGCCGATCGCCCGGCCCGGCGCGATCTTCCCGCTGCCAGCCCCTCACCCAACCTCATCATCGCCTACTGACCGCTTGTTTTTGATTGGTCGCCATGAGTCGTGGACGCCCACTCCTCACTCATTGATACCCGTCACTCTTCGTTGGCAGCTGGCCGACACTTCGCTGGCGTGGGGATCGTGCGTGGTGATCCTCACGTCCAGAACCCACTTCAACTTGCTCATCAGCCGTCCGCCCGTTTCGCGCTGACACCTCATTTCGCGCAGGCGCTCCGGCATGCACGGATCCCTTACACGCCTTCTTCAAACCCAGGGTCTTCCACGACCCTGCTAGATTGGCACAGCTCGTCGTATTCCGTGACAGACACCCAGCATGACTAGTCGTTTTCTGTGCGTCTAACCCGCTGACGCTTTCGTGGTCGCAGCTTGTACTCCAGGACATAGTGTCCGGCCGCATTACGCCGTTTACGTCGTCGGAGCTCCACCAATTCCTCACCCGTGCTTCGCCAGAACACCTGGTTCTCCACTGTTCGTCTCGCTCGTTCGACAGGTACAGCAGCTGTTGCCGTCTGGACAGAAGCCGTCGCTGCTCGAGCAGTTTCTCTTGTCGCCTCGACATCACTCCGCTGTTCGATTTCGCTTTCATAGTCCAATTGCTCGCCAATACCTCGTGCCAATTTCTCCAGATAATCGGTAGGTTGTTTATAGCTGACTAAAATGAGGGATGAGCAAGAAACTCCTCTGGTTCGCCGTCCTCGTCCTCGCGTTTCACCAAGTAAGTCTCATACTCCGCCGGCTCAAGGATCTTCATTGGACCGATTCATCGGCGAGCCTGACGGTTCTGTTCACGCCTCCTTGTCTTCTCGGCGCACGCGTGTGCACTTTGCATCGCCGTCAACAGTCTCTGGTGGTACGCAGTTAAACCACCCGCTTCACTGACGTTCATTTGTCGAAGCAATACGGTGGTAGCAATCGACGACCCATCATCAGCTCGTTTGGCGATAACGACACAGTCGTATGCTTACCCGAATTGTACGCGTATACCGCGAAGTCGACCCACGCATCTTAATCGTTCTGTTCGTCGCGGTGCATGTACGTCGACACACAGTCTTTCCACGTACGATGGAATCTCTCTACCAAGCCAATCATCTGGGGTCGGTAGGAAACAGGGTTGATCTGCTCCGCCTGTAGCATTCGCACCAACTGCTCGATGGCCCGCCCAACAAGATCTGGGGCTCCATCCGTGAGAAGTTCCCGGAATGCACCAAACCGCAACACCACATGCTTCATCAAGAACCGGGCAACATTCTCTGCCGTGTGCTTTTCAACCACCGCAGCTACCGCGTATCTCGTAACGTACTCCACTGCCGCAATGACGAATCGTTGTGCACCGGTTGTAGTTGGTAATGGCCCGGTCACATCTACTGCCCACCGATCTCCGACGTCGCTGCCTCTGATACTCCAGAGAGGTGGCACTACTTCTCGCGGCCTTGCTTTCCTGCTGCCACACTCCTGACAGCCATTCACCCAATGCTTTACCTCGCGCTGTAAATTAGGTCACCAGTACAGCTGTGATATTCGACCATAGGTGCGCGTAGCTCGTAAATGTCCAGCCCATACAGAGTCGTGGTGTTCCTTGAATACCCTCGCCCACAGCGCTGGAGGCATCACTACTCGGCTCCCTTGGGGTGTGTTAATCACTACCAATCCGTATCGTGTTTCAACGCTCATGCATTTATACATTGTCGCTTCTACCAGTCGTTGAACTAGTCTGCTGCGTGTCTGCGCCTCTCGTATCTGCTGGTCAGTGAGCTGCAACGTCGTCTCACTCGTAGCCCGGTGCTCGGTCATGCGGGGTCCTTTTCGTCGGTTCTCGCGATCCCTCATCCTCCACTGGTGTCCTCGCTATCGGCTCCAAGCCGTCCCCGTCAAGTATCGGCCCTACGTCCTTGTTATGCATCAGATTTTGCCCTGCATGAGTCGTCAAGCTTCGTCCTTTGCGGTGTCAAGCGGTCGTGTTCTTGAACAGTCAGCTTCCGCCCTCGTTATTGTGCTCACAGCACGTTGTGATTCGATCCCTATTGAAGGTGAGGCGAGGAAGGTGGAGGAGCTTGAGTAGAAGGAAGAAAAAAGAGATGTGATTGAATTTTATGAGTAGAGTTTCCTGGCACCATTGATTTATCTTTCCTGTAAAAGGTGATGTATCGACTTATGCAGGATTGGGTCCAGAACATATTTTGTATGGTAAGACATTTTGTACAATAACTTGTACGCTATGTCACCAATTAGGACACATCATTGACAGCCTCTCTGTGTCCCAAGTTGGGGGCAGTTCTTATCCCAGATGGTGCAGCTGATTTGCATTCAAGACGTTGAGGACTTTGACTAAAATTACTACTTCGAGGATAATCGACTGTTTCTTGCGGTAGTGAGTTGCTAGAAAGTATGCATATACCTTTCCGAAGGTCGCAAAGTTCTTTACCGTCGTGCAGCTCAAGTATCAGTGAAATAAGCTTGCTTTTTTTCCGTATCGTTCTCGTTGAGTGCATTAAGTGTTCATTTCCTGATCTTTCAACTTTTGCACAGGTGCAGTTTTCTTCTGATTTGCATGCAAGTATTGAAGGTGTTGATCAAGTGCAATCCTCAAGGGAGCGAGACTTAGTGCGATGCGCGCCTGACGCTATAGTCTGGGCTAGCTCTGAGTGAACTTGTTTCACTCGGTAGCGAATCGTCTCCACTGGTCTCAATAACCTTGGGTTTTGTCATATTGATTTACTGCAATCAATATTTTGCTGCTATGGTTCATGTGATTTGCACAGTACTAATATACTATCTTTTGTATACACAGATGCCTGTCAGTCTTCGCACATCAATTTTGTGCCAACATCAAGAGATGCTGTCGGACCGGTACTCAATGTGCGGTCTCTTATCGATCAGCAACGCTCTTCAAACTAGGGATTTTATCACCCCAGCCATGTTGCGGCCTATTTTGGCTCGGTTGGTAGAGGTGAGCCCAAGTGTGGATCATGGACATCCACGCTACGGTGCCTACACTATGGATGCGTTGCAGAAGGGCTTGCAGAAGCGGCGGAAACAGCTGATTTACCTGAACACAATATTGGGGTTCAAGAGCAGACCCAAGCGACCTGCCTCCATCGTGCGGAGTCGAAAATCGGCTCTGCTGATTATAGGTAGGCGGCCTGGGCAACGAGCAGGTACATGGCATTGTATCGCTCGTGCCTGGGTTGGTAACAAGTTTGTGTTCATCGATTCCGACACCTATCACTTCTTCCCTAACCGGGAGGAGCTTTTGACAAGTTTCTTTGAGACAGTAGATGGTGTGTACTCAATTGAGGACATTCCTCGTGCAAATCTTTAAGATTTAAATAATACGTATTTACTTTTAACAAAACTTGTTGCTGTATAAATTTTACATATCGATTAGTATTTTTCTTTTCCTTTTTTTTCTTTTTCTTATTTTTGTATAAGTGTCTTACATAGTGACCCTCTTAGATTTATAAAAAGGGGTTTTGATAGTGCTTTTGTAAAAATGTCTGCTACCATTTCTTTGGTGTTGCAGTACATAATTTCAAATTCTTTTCGCTCTACTTTTTCTTGTACAAAGTGATACCGAATGTCAATGTGCTTGCTTCTGCCATGCAGTTCTGGGTTGTAGGAAAGTTTAATACAACTTTGATTGTCCTCAAATAGGGTAATAGCATGTGAGCTTTCGTGTTTAAGCTCTACTAAAAGAAGCTTTAAGAAAATAGCTTCTTGCATGCAGGAATATACTATCTTTTGTATACACAGATGCCTGTCAGTCTTCGCACATCAATATTGTGCCAACATCAAGAGATGCTGTCGGACCGGTACTCAATGTGCGGTCTCTTATCGATCAGCAACGCTCTTCAAACTAGGGATTTTATCACCCCAGCCATGTTGCGGCCTATTTTGGCTCGGTTGGTAGAGGTGAGCCCAAGTGTGGATCATGGACATCCACGCTACGGTGCCTACACTATAGATGCGTTGCAGAAGGGCTTGCAGAAGCGGCGGAAACAGCTGATTTACCTGAACACAATATCGGGGTTCAAGAGCAGACCCAAGCGACCTGCCTCCATCGTGCGGAGTCGAAAATCGGCTCTGCTGATTATAGGTAGGCGGCCTGGGCAACGAGCAGGTACATGGCATTGTATCGCTCGTGCCTGGGTTGGTAACAAGTTTGTGTTCATCGATTCCGACACCTATCACTTCTTCCCTAACCGGGAGGAGCTTTTGACAAGTTTCTTTGAGACAGTAGATGGTGTGTACTCAATTGAGGACATTCCTCGTGCTAATCTTTAAGATTTAAATAATACGTATTTACTTTTAACAAAACTTGTTGCTGTATAAATTTTACATATCGATTAGTATTTTTCTTTTCCTTTTTTTCTTCTTTTTCTTATTTTTGTATAAGTGTCTTACATAGTGACCCTCTTAGATTTATAAAAAGGGGTTTTGATAGTGCTTTTGTAAAAATGTCTGCTACCATTTCTTTGGTGTTGCAGTACATAATTTCAAATTCTTTTCGCTCTACTTTTTCTTGTACAAAGTGATACCGAATGTCAATGTGCTTGCTTCTGCCATGCAGTTCTGGGTTGTAGGAAAGTTTAATACAACTTTGATTGTCCTCAAATAGGGTAATAGCATGTGAGCTTTCGTGTTTAAGCTCTACTAAAAGAAGCTTTAAGAAAATAGCTTCTTGCATGCAGTGACATTGGGCTATGTATTCTGCCTCTGTTGTGGACAGAACTACGGTGTGGTGCTTTCTCGATTGCCATGAAATTGGGCTTCCACACATATATGCGATATAGCCTCCCACAGATCGTCGTGTGTCTGGGCAATTGGCGTAGTCTGCGTCGGAGTATGCAGTGAGATAATGCTTTGACTTTTACTGCTCTAGATTTTGCTTTCCACCAAGGGTGATGCCAAGATTGCGCGTACCGTTTAAGTACTTCAATCCTCTCTTAACGGCATTCCAGTGAGGTTTTCCTGGGTTCACTAGGAATTGACTGACTTCTCGTAGAAAATATGCGAGATCAGGTCTAGTTCCCATCATTAAGTACATGAAGCTACCAACTGCCTCTCTGTACGGGATCGCTTTCATCTCATGTTTTTCTTCTGGCGTTTGGGGGCACATGGCCTCCGTCAGCTTCACACTGGGATCAGCGGGTGTACCAACCGGGTGTGCATCAAGATGAGAGAAGCGATCCAGGACTTTGGTAGCGTACTTCTCTTGGTGGATGAAAATGGTTCGGTCCGTACGGTTGCGTACGATTGACCAGCCTAAGATGTATTGAGCTTCACCGAGATCAGACATTTTGAAGCGCTGCTTGAGAGCGTTCTTTATGTTGTTAATGATATCAAGCGTAGGGGCTATGATGAGGAGGTCGTCCACATAGACTAGAATGTAGCATGTAGCTCCATCCACAACTCCAATGAAAACGCATTGGTCTTTGATGAGTTTGTGGAATTTCATGGTGAGAAGAAAAGAGCACAGGGTAAGATACTAGATCCGAGGTGCCTGCTTGAGACCATATAGGCTCTTCAAAAGCTTGCAGACTAAGTGCTCTTTCCCACGAACAGTAAACCCTTCAGGTTGCAGCATGTAAATTTCCTCATCGAGGTATCCGTTCAGGAAAGCGGTTTTAACATCCATTTGATGGATCTCAAGGTCAAGGAGTGCTGCAATCGTCAGTAAAAGTCGCAGCACTTCCATGCGGATCACTGGAGAGAATATCTCATCGTAGTCAACGCCATACTTTTGCAAAAAACCTTTTATTACCAGGCGAGCTTTATAGCGGTCAATACTGCCGTCTCCATTGTATTTTACAACGAATACCCATCGACACTGTAGGGCCCTTCTCCCTGTCGGTAGTTTTGTGAGGACCCACGTTTTGTTGTCGATCAATGATTTGTAATGGCTGCCTTCTCCCAGTGTTGTGCTTCTGGTAGTTTCTGGGATTCTAGGAACGTCTTTGGTTCATATATGTGTCTGATAGCCAATAGAGCGTAGATATGAGTGAGGTGCTCTTTTCGTTCGTTAATGTCGAGTGGATCATCAAGTAGACACGAGT